AGCAAACGCGACGTCCGGTCGGGTGTTTACCGCCGCATACATGAGGCTGCCCACCAACGAGTGAAAACGGCGCCTCTCCTCTTCACAAACGCTCTCCTCCTCTGGTCTCTTCACACACTTGAACCCAGAGGGAAAGGGAGTAGCCACATGACCTTCACTCTCGCCAAAGTTGGCAGCCAATGCCTCCAGGTACTTCCGTTGGTGCACTCGCATGCTCCGCTTCTCCACGTCTCGTTCGATGTGGAGCCCAAGGTAGAAGTTCACGTCACCAAGGGACTTGCACTTGAACTTGTCATGCAGCTTCAGCATCTTCTCCTTCACAAGGTCAGAGGAGGGTGAGAATATGAGAATGTCATCCACATAAATCACCATGAAGCTCCTCTGCTCCCCCTCGCCAAGCATGAACAAGGAGTGATCGACCGTTGAGGGAGTGAAGCCGATCTCCTCCAACACTTCGCGCAGCTTCATGTACCATTGCCTAGGGGCCTGCTTCAGCCCATAGAGGGCCTTCTTCAGCTTCCACACTCTGCCAATACCATCATCAAACCCCTCTGGCTGTGCCATAAAAATCTCCTCCTCAAGGATGCCGTTAAGGAATGCCGTTACGATGTCCATTTGTTTTACTACCCATCCTTTGATGGCGGCTCCCGCGAATAGGGTTCGCAGCGTCGTCGGCTTCAGCACAGGGGCAAACAGCTCCTTGAAGTCCACCTTCTCCTTCTGCTCGTACCCCTTGGCTACAAGCCTCGACTTGTAGCGTTCGATCTTGCTGTCGGCATCCGACTTGATTTTGAAGAGCCTCTTGGATGTTATCGCCGTACGCCCCTCCGGTAGCTCCACCAATTCAAACGTGTCGTTCTCCTCGATGCTCTTCAGCTCTCTTTCCATGGCCTTCTTCCACTCCTCAGCATCACTACTCTCCAAAGCCTCCTTGAGAAATGCTGGTTCTCCCGGCATCTCCACTGGAGAGAAGAACGGGAAGGCACACTCCTCGTAGTCACTCTCCTCGTCGTCTCCGACCATCATTGCTGCTCCGGCCAGGGCTGTCTTGCCCTGCTTTCCCAGCGCAACATAGGTCAGCCTATTAGGGGGTTGAACTCTCCTCTTGCCCCTTCCTTCCTCCTCAGCTGCAGGGACTTGAAGGCCTTGGCGTTGCTGCGGTGTGGCTCAAATCCGTGGAGCACTTGTAGTGCGGGAAGGGAGTGACGGTGCACGCTAGCTCACTTGCTGCACCTCCTCCTCTTCTTCCTCTTCATCATTGGCCTCCTCTCCCCCATTCACAAGGGAGGATTGCCTCGTGGTTGTGCTGCCGCTGCTCAACTCCAAAGGCAGCTCCACATGCTCCAAACCGGAACTCTTCACCTCCTCAAACCGCACGCCTATCTTCGCCTCATTCTCCGCCTTCCAACCTTTGTACATGAAGTTCTCCATGAACTTGCAGTCCCTACTCACCAAAAATTTCTTGGTGAATGGGTCCCAAAGAAGCCATTCCTTGCTGTTTTGAGCCATGCCCAAGTGCACGGCCCACACCGCCTTGGCACCAAGCTTGTTGTGCCGAAGATGCTTAGGCACGAGCGCCATGCACATGCACCCGAACACCCGAAGCATATCCACCTTTGGCTTCCTTCCTAGCCACTCCACATAGGGCACCCATTTGTCTGCTCCCACATGAGTCAAGGCTCGGATCTTGGCCACACACGCGCTCCGCACCACATCAGGCCAGAAATAGTCGGGTAGCCCAGCTTCAATGAGCAACCCGCGTGCCGCCTCCGTGATTGTGCGGTTCGCTCGCTCGGCGATGCCGTTCATTGCAGGGGAGTATGGCATGGTGAGGGAGTGCCGAATACCATTCTTCTTCAGCCACAACCCAAACTCCTTGCTCAGGAACTCTCCCCCTCGATCGGTGCGGATTGAATTGACTAGACGGTCTTGTTGCCGCTCCACCATCGGGAACCAATCCGCCTTCAACGTTTCAGCCACGTCGCTCTTCTTGGCCAGCACGTACACCCAAGTCATACGGGTATAGACGTCCACAATAGTGAGGAAGTACCCAGCTCCAGCAGCTCCAAGCTTCAGGGGGCCCACCACGTCCATCACCACCTCATCAAGTGGTGCCTTAGCCGTTGCCTCCGAACTAGAGAATGGGAAACGGGTGAACTTGGCTTGCATGCACGTCGGGCAGCCAAGTACCTCATCGGGCCCCCCCTTCACACGTATGCCAGCAACCATCTCATTCTTAACTAGCTGCTGCAAGATGGGCAGGGCCACATGCCCCATGCGCCGATGCAAGGTGAGCCAATCACACTCCCCCGTAGCCGAAGTTGGATTGGAGAATGCCGCGCTCCCAATAGCGCCCCACATACTCTCTCCGTAGTCCTCCTCGGCTGCTGCCTCGGGGTTCTTCTCACCCTTTTGCTGCTCCTTGGCTGCTGCACCTCTCTCCATAGGTTCACCAAGCTTGCTGGTCCTTCCAAGATTGCACTTCTTGGACTCCTTCTCCTTAGCGCGACCGTCTACGCAATCGCCGCTACCAACCGCTCCACCTTTGGTGCTGACGCTTGCTGCCACTTGCCTCTCCTTAGGCATTGGGACCACAGGGATCTGCCACATCTCGTTGTAGACATCTCTGTCCTCATGAAGGTCCCAAAGAATCCGATCGCCAAGCCTTGCGGTGTAGGTCTTGGCTCCCTTTGAGTTCGTGTCCATGCCGGCCTTTGCCAACCGCCGCACGGAAATCAGGTTGGCAGCAAGGCTGGGCACCCAAAGCACATTCTTGAGGCCCACCATCTTCCCATCAGCACCCTTAAACATGGCCTTGCCCATGCCTTTCACCTCCGCTCGCTGCCCCAAAGCCGATGTGACATGCTTCACCGGTGACGGTTCGAGTTCGGTGAGCAAGTCCGGGCGAGGTGTCATGCTATAGGTAGCGCCACTATCGATCACCCAATAGTCCAGAGGGTGTAAGGTCACCTTCCCCACAGCTGCTGGCTCCTCAAAGCCTTCATCCTTCTCTGGACCAGTCGGTACTTGCGTCGACACGAAGTAGAATAGACCCGGGTACCGATCGTTGCTCGGGTCCTTGTCATTGTCTCCGCTCGTCATGTTTGCAGCTCCGCCACCGCGACCGCCACGGCCTCCACGGCCTCTTCCTCTCCCTCCTCCTGCTCCTCTACCCTCTTGGCCTTGAGCAGGGGTCCAACCATCAGGGAGCTTGTAGCAATCGCGCCACATATGTCCGCCCTTGTGGCAATAATGGCATTCGCCGTCGAATCGGCCGCGACCGCGCCCGTAGCTCTTGTCGTCGCTGCCGTAACCGCCACTCTCGCGGCCTCCGCCGAAGTTGCTGCCACCAAACCTTCCTCCCCCTCATCCTCTGCCTCTTCCTTGACCATATTCACGGCTGATGCTCGCTGCCCCAGCGCCATCCGCACTCTCCAACTCACGGCGGCGGAAATCCTCTTGAAGGATAGCTCGCTTCACATCTTCGAGCAAGAGGCGGGGCAAGTCGCGATTCAAGTTGATGATGAGCGAGGACCATGACTCAGGAAGTAGGGCCAGCAACTTGGTCTTCTTTTGGAGCTCACTATAGTTCAAATCCGCTCCCTCAAGCCGCGTCAACAAGTGGAAGAATTTCTGCACCCCTTCTTCAACCGCTTCATCCTCTTCAATTCGTAACGTCGCCATTTGCCGTTCCAACACCACAGCTACCGCCGCTGTTGCAGGAGCGTGTACACCCTTGAGAGCAGCCCATGCCTTTGGTCCCTTCTCTGGTTCACGCTGGAAAGGCTTGATGTGACGGATTTGGCTGCTCCCCAACGCTTGCCCAAGTAGGAGGTAGCCTTGTGCGCTCTTCCGCACCCACGGGCTCTTCTCCGGGTCGTTCTCGGGACGCTTCTCCGTTCCTTCCATTACCTCCAGCAGGTCATAGTGGTCAAATATGTTCTCCATTTTGAAGGACCACTCAGCAAAGTTGTCACCATTGAACTTGTCAAGGCCAAACACTCTAGGCTCATCCCTAGATGGGCCAACACTTGGTTGCACGGGCGCCATAGTTGAATCACGGGGTTGGCCTTGAGCTTGGGCTTCTCCTCTGCCACCAGCACCTCTGCCACCCCTTTCCTTAGGTCGAGCCATTGTCGAAACTGCTCCAAGGGGCTCTGATACCACTTGTTATAGTCACAGTAGGCTCCAATGTGCGTAAAACGAAAGATAGAGTGCACAGTCGGATTTCTGCACAGCGCCTTCAAACGTTCATAGCGTTCTGGTCACAAATCAAATGACTTGATTCAACTTGGATCTGGAGCGTCTTATTGTTGCCTACACTAGGCAATTTAGATCACACGATTTGACCAAGTATTGACGACACAACGTTGGTTTGAACGAACGGCACTATGGCAGCCACTATAGTCTTAGAACACAAGATAGGAAGAGTTAGGGAGAGTTACGAGTTGGGAATGACTCCCAGCTCCTACAAACCCCAAGAGCCAAGGTACAGTGATGTGGAACAGTGCCACATTGTCCCCAACCATGAAGGGTCTCGAAACTACCCTTCACTAGGGCCTACACCAAGTGAAATGTTATACTACACAAAGTAATGAAACTATCTTCAATATCTTGGGGTGTACCCTTTTCCGCGGGCTTCGCGATTACTTGAATGTTGACACCAGGGCTCGGGTTCTTCATCACAAACTCATCCTTGAGTTCTTGATGGGTCTACTGCACACACCTGCGACACGAAGAACGTTCGACACAGGACAAAATAGAAACTGCGCACGACAAAATAGAAACCACGCGGGACACACAAAACGACCACGTTACACGCGACTAGCGATAATTCGCTATTGACTTGACACACACACTTGAAATCATGACCCATCATTCACACACTATTATAAGCATGAAATATATATTTATTTCATGCACTCATTCCATTCCATGCACACACGCATGCACGCACACGGACAACAAGCCGAGTACAAACCGTAGGGTTGCACCAACAGCTACTGTTGCTCATCATCAAACAAGAGGAATGGAAGCAAGCAGCAGGCATCATCACCTCCACCGCCCCCGCCAGCCCCCCCAGCGCCCTTGCCCCCATTGCCTCTGCTGGTGCGGCGTCTCCCGCTAGGGGCAGACGCAGCGCCGACCGACTCGAAACCAACGAGGTCGGCCGCAGCAGCAGAAGCAACAGAGGGCAAGAGGGGGGAAGGGGAACACCCCTCAAAGACGGGGGTGCGAGGGTCACCACGAGAGGCTCCTACGGCGACTATGCTCTTCTCTGCTGCTAGGAGGTCAACAGTGAGAGTGGTGGGGCAAACTGAGAGGAAGTGGTCCCTGACTAAGCGAAGGGAGTCAGGGAGCCGGGTGACTATGAAGTAGAGGGTGATGTACATGGGGGGGGGGGGGGGGTTCTTTGCACAGACTTCAGCAGGAAGCGCAGCGCGGTAGCGAGTGTCACTAGTGCGGAGGTGCGTAATGAGGTCAGCGACTGTGGGAAAGGCAGCAAGGTCAGGGAAGAGGTACGGTAGCATGAGGTGGCTCAGCGCAGCTGTGGCAGGGGAAGAGTAGCGTGCAACTACAGCGTCGTACAAGGTCTGAGCACTCTTGTACTGGCTAAAGTGTGCACGCTCAGTGGTCGGTAAGTGGCGACGCACAGCAAGACGGGCAGCAGCATCGCGTGTGGCCCACTGTGAGCGAACAGTACTGTCAGCAGTTGCAGGCGGGACAGGGGAGGCACCAGAGGTGAGATCGAACAGGGAGAGTCCGTCTGCCCTATCGCACTGTAGGAACAGCTGGAGGTCATCGACCCAGACCTCAAAGTCAACAGCACGACCCTCAGCATCAAAGGTAAGAACACTGGGGGTAGCCATGACTGTAGTGGCCTAGCAGGGAGTGATCTCACCAGTCCGAGTAAGTAGGGCCGAGGCGTGCCAGTAGGAACAGTAGCGGCTCGACGGCAGGGCGGCTCGGCGGCTCGGCTGCTGGGCGACTCGGCGGCTTTGTGGCTCGGCTGCTGGGCGGCTCGGCTGTCAAGCGGCTCGGCGGCTCGGCTGCTGGGCGGCTTTGTGGCTCGGCGGCTCGGTTGCTGGGCGGCTCGGCGGCTCCGGCTCGGCGGCTCTGCTATTGGGCGGCTCAGCTGCTGGGCTGCTCGGTAGAGGCGGCGACGAGTCGGCAGAGGCGGCGATGGGGCCGCTAGGGGCGGCGACGGGGCCATGTAGGGAGGGGAGCGGCGACGGGGCCGATAGGGGCGGCTCCGGGGTCGCGTAGGGGCGGCGACGAGGCCGCTAGGGGCGGCTACTGGGCCACGTAGGGAGGGGAGCGGCGACGGGGCCGTTAAGGGGCGGCGACGGGGCCGCGTAGGGGCGGCGACGGGGCCGCGTAGGAAGGGGAGCGGCGACGGGGCCGCTAGGGGCGGCGACGGGGCCGCGTAGGGAGAGGGGCGGCGACGGGGCCGCTAGGGGTGGCGACGGGGCCGCTAGGGGCGGCGACAGGGCCGCGTAGGGGCGGCGACGAGGCTGCTAGGGGCCGTTAGGGGCATGGAAGGGTGGCGAACAAGGCGCGCCTCGGGCAGGAGCGACTGACGCTCCGGTCAGAAAAACATTTTCAGTGGTGGGCCCAAGGAAGCGTTCCCACTAGGGTGTCAGAACATTATAGCTTATACATCTGTGTAGGCTGTAGTGGGGTAGCCCATAAGGGGTACAACCCAATTAGGGTTAGCACTTCTACCCAACTATTTCATAGTTCAATCATTCTCTTTCTAATTCTCACATGGTATAGAGCAGGTTCCCCAGTGGGAACTGTTCCTAGGGCCCACCGACCTTTTTTGTTTTCCTGCCCGGAGCGTGCTTGGCCCCTGCCCGAGTCGCGCCCCGTGTGATTCCCCTTCGTGGCCTCTAGCGGCCTCCCTCACGGCCCCTAGTGGCCCCGTCGCGCCGTCCTCACGGCCCCGTCGCGCCGCCCTTGCGGCCCTCTTCGCACCGCCCTCGCGACCCCTTTTCGTGGCCCCATCGCCGCCCTTTCAGCGGCCCCGACGCCGCCCTTTCCGCGGCCCCGTCGCTGCCCTTTCAGCGGCCCCGTCGCCGCCCTTTCACGGCCTCGCCGCCCGCCCTTGCAGCAGCCCCGTCGCCGCTCTTCCGCGGCCCCGACGCCGCCCTTCCGCGGCCCTGTCGCCGCCCCTTCGCGGCCCCGACGCCGCCCTTCCACGGCCCCGTCGCCGCCCTCTAGCGGCCCCATCGCCGCTCGTCCACGGCCCCGTCGCCGCCCTTTCAGCGGCCCCGTCGCCGCCCTTTCAGCGGCCCCGTCGCCGCCTGCCCTTTCAGCGGCCCCGTCGCCGCCTTTCCGCGGCCCCGTCGCCGCCCTACAACGGCCCCGTCGCCACCCTGATGCGGACCCGTCGCTGCCCTTTCAGCGGCCAGTCGCCGCCCTTTCAGCGGCCCGTCGCCGCCCTTTCAGCGGCCTCGTCGCCGCCCTTCCGCGGCCCCGTCCCCACTCAGCCGCCCAGCGCCAGAGCCGCCGAGCCGCCCAGCCGCCGAGCTGCCAAGCCGCCGAGCAGCCGAGCCACCGAGCAGGCGAGCCGCCGAGCAGCCGAGCCGCCGAGCAGCCGAGCCGCCCTGCAGCCGAGCTGCCTGACCGCCGAGCCGCCCTGCAGCCGAGCCGCCCGACCGCCGAGCCGCCCAGCAGCCAAGCCGCCGAGCCGCACCGCAGCCGAGGCGCTGCCGCCTGTCGGCCTGCCCGGGACCGCCCCACTTGCCTGGTAAGAGCAGCGCCTCTACCACTGCACTGCCCTGCCCCACTGTACTCACTGCCTGTCTACTGCTGTCATGGCCTCCCCTAGTGTTCTCACCTTTGACGCTGAGGGTCGGGCAGTTGACTTTGAGGTCTGGGTAGATGATCTGCAGCTTTTCCTATAGTGCGATAGGGCAGACGGTCTCTACCTGTTTGACCTCACTTCTGGTGCCTCTCCTGCCCCTGCTGCTGATACTGAAGCAACTGTTCGCTCAGAGTGGGCCATGCGTGATGCTGCTGCTCGCCTTGCTGTGCACCGCCACTTACTCACCACTGAGCGTGCACACTTTAGCCAGTACAAGAGTGCTCAGACCTTGTACAACGCTGTAGTTGCACGCTACTCTTCCCCTGCCACTGCTGCACTGAGCCGCCTCATGCTACCGTACCTCTTCCCTGACCTTGCTGCCTTTCCCACAGTCGCTGACCTCATTACACACCTCCGCACTAGTGACACTCGCTACCGCGCTGCGCTTCTTACTGAGTTCTGCGCCAAGAACCCCCCCCCCCCATGTACATCACCCTCTACTACATAGTCACCCGGCTCTCTGACTCTCTCCGCGTAGTAAGGGACCACTTCCTCTCAGTTTGCCCCACCACTCTCACCGTTGACCTCCTCGAGAAGGCCCTCCTAGCAGCAGAGAAGAGTATAGTCGCTGTAGGAGCCTCTCGTGGTGACCCTCGCACCCCCGTCTTTGAGGGGTGTTCTCCCTCCCCCCTCTTGCCCTATGTTGCCTCTCCTGCTGCGGCGGACCTCGTTGGTTTCGAGTCGGTCGGCGCTGCGTCTGCCCCGAGCGGGAGACGCCGCACCGGCAAGGGCAAGGGGGGCAAGGGCGCTGGAGGGACTGGCGGGGGCGGTGGAGGTGGTGGTGGAGGCAGTGGAGGGAGTGGGGGTGGTGGTGGGAGTGGTGCCGGGGGTGGCGGCAGCGGCGGCAGCAGTGGAGGCGGCGGAGGGGGCGGTGGTGGCGGACGGAGCGGAGGTGGCGGAGGTGGAGGAGGAGGCGGAGGTGGAGGAGGCGGTGGAGGCGGCGGCGGCGGCGGCGGCGGCGGCGGTGGTGGAGTGGGTCGCGACTCTGCGCAGAGGAGTGGCTCAGGTGGTGGTCCGCGCCAGCAGTAGCAGCGGAGTGGTGTGACCCTGTCCCCTCAGCAGCTTCGTGAGTGGTACACTGCGCGCCAGCGCGGTGGGGGTTTTGGTCCCTGCACTTACGTCCTCCGTACCGGTGACCGAGCTGGTGAGCAGTGCGGGGGCCCGCACTCCACCCAGCGCTGCTTCGGTCGCCTGACGGACGCATGGCGTCGCCAGTTCCCTGAGGCGTCAGAGATCCCTCGCTGGGGAGATCTGTCTAGGGCGGGGGTTGCCGTCTTTGATCTTGACTATGATGCTATCCTTGCTACCATGTATTCTGTGACTACTAGTGTTGAGGGTGATTGTTACCTGTGTGTACCGCCTGACCCGAGCATTGAGGCCACTGTTCTAGGTGCTGGTGAGGCTGGTGCTCTAGGTGCTAGTGCGTCTGCTGCCCCAGGTGCCAGTGCGTCTGCTGTCCTAGGTGCCAGTGCGTCTGCTGCCCCAGGTGCTGGTGAGTCTGCTCTCTCAGGTACTACGTCGGCTCAGGCCTTCCACACCTTCACCCTTGACTCGGGTGCGTCCCGCTCCTTCTTTCAAGACCGCACCACTCTTACGCCGCTCAGTCGGCCGGTTGCAGTCTCCCTGGCAGATCCCTCTGGGGGTCCTGTCCTTGCTAGCTTCTCCACTGTCTTACCGTGCCCGGCAGCCCCCTCTGGCACCCTGTCAGGTCTCTACCTCCCCTCGTTCTCTACGAACTTGGTGAGTGGAGAGGACCGACAGCGCGCCGCCCCTTACTCCTCTGAATTTCCTCCGACAGAGGCTCCGCTACAAACCCTCCACATGGACGTTTGGGGCCCCGCCCGCGTCCGTGGACAGGGGCACGAGCGTTACTTCCTGTTGGTTGTTGACGACTACTCGCGTTACACCACAGTCTTCCCCTTGCGCAGCAAGGGTGACGTCACTGAGGTGTTGATCGACTGGATCCGCGCAGCTCGTCTCCAGCTCAGAGAGAGTTTCGGCTCGGACTTTCCTGTTCTGCGTCTGCACTCGGACAGAGGCGGGGAGTTTTCCTCTGCTCGCCTGGGAGCCTTCTGTCGTGCACGGGGCATCTGCCAGACCTTCACGCTTCCGGCATCTCCACAGCAAAATGGGATTGCTGAGCGCCGCATTGGCATAGTCATGGACGTCGCTCGTACGTCCATGATGCATGCGGCCGCCCCCCATTTTCTGTGGCCGTTTGCGGTTCAGTACGCCGCGCATCAGCTCAACCTTCAGCCCCGGGTCTCCTTGCCAGAGACCTCCCCCGCCTTACGGTGGACCGAAAAGGTTGGCGATGCGTCTGCGTTTCGGGTCAGGGGATCTCGGGCGTTTGTCCGCGACTTGTCTGCGGACAAGCTGTCCCCCCGTGCTGTTCCCTGCGTCTTCCTTGGCTTCCCCCCTGACGGGCCTGGGTGGCAGTTTTACCACCCCACCTCGCGCCGTGTTCTGTCCTCCCAGGACGTCACTTTTGACGAGTCGGTGCCTTACTACTGTCTCTTCCCCTACCGCACTGTGCCCCTCCCCCCGCCACCGCTCTTCCTTGCACCAGGTCCTCCCCCGGTAGACCCCATCCCCCCTCAGGGTCCTGCCCCGTCAGGTGTGTCCCAGGTAGACACAGTCGAGCCTGTCGAGGTAGCTGTTGACTCTGGTGCTGCTAGAGGTGCTGAGCCTGCGGGTGCCGGGTCTGGGGGTGCTGAGACTGGGGGTGCTGAGCCTGGGGGTGCGGAGTCTGGGGGTGCAGAGACTGGGGGTGCTGAGTCTGGGGGTGCTGAGTCTGGGGGTGCTGAGCCTCGGGGTGCTGGGTCTGGGGGTGCGGAGCCTGGAGGTGCGGAGCCTGGGGGTGCCGAGCCTGGGGGCGCTAGGTCTGCTCGTGTGGCCGCCGGCGGTGCCTCGTCGAGGCGGGAGCCACTCTCTCCACAGGAGTTGCACGAGTGGTTTGCCCGCTGCTGGAGACGTGCTGCTGAGACTGGGGGTGCTGCTGGGGCTACTGGAGATGGTCCTGCTGGAGCTGCTCGCGGTACTAGTGCTGCTCGAGCTAGAGCTGCTGGGGGTGTTGGCGGTGGTGTTTCCACTGACGCTATTGCGTCTGGGCGTGCTGCTGAGGCTGCTAGAGCTGACGGTCCTATTGGAGTTGGTGCTGCTGGAGCTGGAGCTACTGGGGGTGTTGGCACTGGCGGTGCTGCTGGCGCTGGTGCTTCTGAGGGTGCAGGAGTTGGCGCTGTTGGAGATGGAGGTGATGCTGGCGCAGGTGCTACCGCTTGGGGTACTGGTGCCGTCCCTGCTGGTTCTGGAGGCGCTGAGCGGCCGAGGCCGTACTTCGTTCCGCTCCTAGAGCAGGTTCTTGGTCTCCCGCCCTCTTCTAGTCCTGCACCTTCCTTAGAGTGTCCACAGCCTGTCCAGTCACAGTCACAGTTACAGCCCGCCTCCCCTCTACCTGCTCCTTCTCCCTACACTGGTCCTACTGGAGGTCTTGCTGAGCGTCGTGTGCCTGCGTCTCTTCCTGCGTCGCCTGTTTGTCCTGCTCGCACTAGTGGTCGTACTGCGCGTCCGCGTCCTCCTGTGGTCCCCGGCACACACCAGATGGCACTGCGTCCTTCCACTACTCCACTGCGTGTCCTGTTGCCGTCTCCTCCAGAGTCCTCTCTTCCTACTCTTGCTAACCCGGAGTCTGACTCCCTTCGTGCGGCTAGTCCTTCGGTCACGCGTCTCCTTGCTACTGTTGTCACTGACCCTTCCTTTGAGTCCACTGCTGCGTCTGCCCTAGTTGCTGAGCTTGTCGACTTTGCTGCTTGCTGTCGTCTAGATTACGCTGCCAGTCTCGTTGCTGAGTCTGAGTCTGTTTGTCCTCCGTCCGTTGGGGGTGAGTGTGCTCTTAGCACGGACGTCCTTGAGGACAGGCAGGAGGAGTTCCAGTGCTTTGCTGCTGCTTTGCCCCATCTCGTGTCCACGCTGATTGCCCCTGAGGGAGACCCGGATGCACCAGACATCCCGACTCCTCGATCGTACGATGAGGCGATCGAGGGTCCCTACTCCTCTCAGTGGCAGTCAGCCATGGACGCAGAGATGGCTTCCTGGAAGTCCACAGGCACCTACGTCAACGAGGTTCCCCCACCTGGGGCGGACATCGTCAGTGGCATGTGGATTTTCAGGGTGAAGCGGCCTCCGGGTTCTCCGCCTGTCTTCAAGGCGCGTTACGTGGCTCGAGGCTTCAGTCAGCGGCAGGGAGTTGACTACTTCCAGACCTTCTCTCCCACCCCGAAGATGACCACTCCTCGGGTGCTGCTGCACATAGCCGCTCAGCGCGACTACGAGCTTCACTCTCTTGACTTCAGCACAGCTATCTTGCAGGGCAGCCTGCACGAGGAGATCTGGCTGCGCCGCCCACCTGGCTTCACTGGGTCGTTTCCCCCTGGTACCCAGTGGAGCCTCCGGCGGCCAGTCTACGGTCTCCGCCAGGCACCCCGTGAGTGGCACGACACACTGAGGACTACACTTGCGGCTCTTGGGTTTGCTCCTTCTACAGCCGACCCGTCGCTGTTTCTGCGCACCGACACCTCTTTGCCGCCGTTCTACATCCTCGTGTACGTCGACGACTTGGTCTTCGCCACAGCTGACACCGCTGGACTCGCCCACGTGAAGTCCGAGCTGCAGAAGAGACACACGTGCACAGACCTGGGTGAACTGCGCAGCTACCTTGGCTTGCAGATCACCCGGGACAGAGCACAGCGCACCATTACCCTGACTCAGTCACACATGGTGCAGCAGGTCCTTCAGCGCTTCGGCTTCACGTACTCCTCGCCTCAGGCCACTCCTCTGTCTACTCGCCACTCGCTCTCAGCTCTGCCTTCGGATGAGTCCATTGAGCCAAGTGGCCCGTACCCAGAGCTTGTTGGCTGCCTCATGTACCTGATGACCTGCACACGACCTGACCTTTCATGCCCTCTTAGCATCTTGGCACGCTATGTTGCTCCTGGGAGACACCGACCAAAGCACATGGCTGCAGCGAAGAGGGTGTTGCGCTACGTGTGCAGTATGTCGAGCATGGGGCTAGTGCTTGGAGGGCGACGTCGAGTGGTCCTCACAGGTCACGCTGACGCTTCTTGGGCTGAGGACCAGGCTCTGCAGCGGTCGTCACAGGGTTACACCTTCAGCCTTGGCTCCGGCTCTGTTTTGTGGCGGTCTACCCGCTCGTCCTCTATTCTCAGCTCCAGCTGTGAGGCTGAGATCTACGCAGGGGCCATGGCTGCACAGGAGCTACGCTGGCTCACCTACCTACTGACTAATCTAAAAAACCGCCTCGTTCTCCTCCATTTCTGTACGTAGACAACAAGGCCATGCTGGCCTTGTGTTGGGAGCAGTGACTGGAGCATAGAACGAAGCACATTGCTCTCCGCTACTTCCTGGCTCGTGAGCTGCAGCAGCGTGGTCAGCTCTGCCTCACCTACGTGGCCTCTGAGGCCAACACTGCTGATATCTTCACCAAGGCCCTTCCGCCTTGTGATCATCAGCGCTTCTGTACTTTGCTAGGTCTTGTGCCTGTCTTGCCTCACTTGCTCACTTCTTGATCTTGTTTGTACTGTACTCTTTCTATACCTTCACTTGCTTATGTCAAATCATAATGTTCTGTAGGCTGTAGTGGGGTAGCCTATATGGGGTACACATTTCTAGGGTTGCATATTTGTACCACATTCCATTCCTTAGTGCACTCATTCTCGTTTCAATTCTCACAAGGTATCGACTAGGTTCCCTCGTGGGAACTGTGCCTAGGGCCCACCAAGTCGAAAGTTTTTTTTTCCTGCCCGGAGCGCGCTCTGCCCGAGTCGCGCTCCCTTCTCTGACTTTGTCGAGCCGCCCTAGCGGCCAAGTCGCGCCGCCTTAGCAGCCCCTGATTCGTCGCCCTAGCGACCCCGTCGGCCTACCTATGACCCCGGCCCCGTCGCCCTACCTGCGACCCCGGCCCCGTCGCCCCCCCCCCCCCCTTGCGACCCTGGCCCCGTCGCCATACCTGCGGCCCCGGCCCTAGCCCCGTCGCCCTACCTGCGCACCAGCCCCGTCGCCCTACCATCGACCCGGCCCCGTCGCCCTACTTACGGCTCGGCCCTGTCCTCGTCGCCCTGCCTACGGCCCAGCCCCGTCGCCCTACCTTCGACCCGGCCCCGTCGCCCTACCTACGGCCCGGCCCCGGCCCCGTCACCCTACCTACGGCCCGGCCCCGGCCCCGTCGCCCTACCTTCGACCCGGCCCCGTCGCCCTTCCTGCGCCCCGGCCCCGTCGCCCTACATGCGCACCGGCCCCGTCGCCCTACCTTCGACCCGGCCCCGTCGCCCTACCTACGGCCCCGCCCGAACCGCCTACGCAGCGGAGCCGCCAGCGCCGCTCAGCAGCCCGAGCCACCCGTTCCGCCCGAGCCACCCGAGCCACCCGCGCCGCCCGAGCCGCCCGAGCCGCTCGAGCCGCCCGAGCCGCCTGAGCAGCTGAGGAGCCGAGCCGCGGGTGCCGCCGAGCCGCAGTTGCTGCCGAGCCGCCCGAGCTGCCCGAACCGGTTTGTCTGGTGAGCGCAGCGCCTCTGTCACTGCACTGCCCCTGCTCTACAGTCAGCGCTGCTAGTCTACTGTTGTCATGGCTACCCCTAGTGTCCTCGCTTTTGACGCCGAGGGTCGAGCCATTGACTTTGACGTCTGGGTAGATGACCTGCAGCTGTTCTTATAGTGCGATAGGGCAGACGGTCTCTCCCTCTTTGACCTCACCTCTGGTGCCTCTCCTGCTCCTGCTGCTGATGCTGACGCCACTGTTCGCTCACAGTGGGCCACGCGCGATGCTGCTGCACGTCTTGCTGTGCGTCGCCACCTCCCTACCTCTGAGCGTGCGCACTTTAGTCAGTACAAGAGTGCTCAGACCTTGTACGACGCTGTAGTTGCACGCTACTCCTCCCCTGCCACTGCTGCACTGAGCCGTCTCATGCTACCGTACCTCTTCCCTGACCTTGCTGCCTTTCCCACTATTGCTGACCTCATTACGCACCTCCGCACTAGTGACACTCGCTACCGCGCTGCGCTTCCTGCTGACTTTTGCGCCAAGAACCCCCCCCCCCCCCCCCCCCCATGTACATCACTCTCTACTACATAGTCACTCGCCTCCCTGACTCCCTTCGCGTAGTCAGGGACCACTTCCTCTCAGTCTGTCCCACCACTCTCACTGTTGACCTCCTCGAGAAGTCCCTCCTAGCGGCCGAGAAGAGCATAGTCGCTGTAGGGGTATCTCGTGGTGACCCGCGCACCCCCATCTTTGAGGGGTGTTCCCCCTCCCCCCTTCTGCCCTCTGTTGCCTCTGCTGCTGCGGCCGACCTCCTTGGTCTTGAGTTGGTCGGTGCGGCGTCTGCCCCTAGCGGGAGACGTCGCTCTGGTAGGGGCAAGGGGGGCAGAGCACTGGAGGAGCGAGCGGGGGCGGTGGAGGTGGAGGTTGAGGCGGCGGGGGGAGTGGGGGTGGCGGTGGGAGTGGAGGTGGGGGTGGAGGTGTCGGTGGCGGCAGTGGAGGCGGAGGCGGCGGCGGCGGTGGCGGTGGGAGCGGTGGTGGCGGAGGTGGTGGCGGTGGAGGAGGCGGCGGAGGCGGCGG